CAGCTCCACCAGCAGCAGCTGCCTCAGTCTGCAGTCGATGATGAGTAGCTTTCTTCACCAGCGCAGTGAGGAATCTACTAACCAGCCGCAGCAGCAGCAGCATCAGGTGAACCTGGAGCAGGACCTCAAACAACAGGCTTAGGCCTACTTGGACAGCACCCTGCCAACCGAGGTAGACAATCCCCTTGACTACTGGGCAACGAAACTTGACCTTTGGCCCCAACTAGCTGAATTTGCCCTTGAAAGGCTGTCATGCCCGGCCAGTAGCGTGGCATCGGAGCGCGTGTTTAGTGCGGCAGGAGGTATTGCAACTCCGCGGAGGACACGACTGTCCACCCAAAGTGTGGAGAGACTCACGTTTGTGAAAATGAATCTGGCGTTGATTAGTCTGGATTTCAAACCACCAGTTCCTGACACAACTGACTAAATCCGCCATGAATCATGCCCCAAACATGTGCCACTTTCAGGTCTCCTCACACTGCTGGTGTGTTCCATTTTTTGTCATAGGGTGCTGGCAGATTACGGGCCTCCCATAGCTGCTGCCAGGCCCCTAATCTGCCATGGGCCCCTATACTGCCTCCTCATGCTGCTGCCAAGTCCAGAGTCTCTCATGGGTCCCTGTACGGCCTCCCATTGCTGCTGTCTCCATCGCCACACTCTGCCATGTGCCACTTTCAGGTCTCCTCACACTGCTGGTGTGTTGAATTTTTTGATATAGGGTGCTGGCAGATTACGGGCCTCCCATAGCTGCTGCCAGGCCCCTAATCTGCCATGGGCCCCTATACCGCCTCCTCATGCTGCTGCCAGGTCCAGAGTCTCTCATGGGTCCCTGTACGGCCTCCCATTGCTGCTGTCTCCATCGCCACACTCTGCCATGTGCCACTTTCAGGTCTCCTCACACTGCTGGTGTGTTCCATTTTTTGTCATAGGGTGCTGGCAGATTACGGGCCTCCTATAGCTGCTGCCAGGCCCCTAATCTGCCATGGGCCCCTATACCGCCTCCTCATGCTGCTGCCAAGTCCAGAGTCTGTCATGGGTCCCTGTACGGCCTCCCATTGCTGCTGCCAGGTCCAGAGTGTGTCATGGGTCCCTGTACGGCCTCCCATTGCTGCTGTCTCCATCGCCACACTCTGCCACGTGCCACTTTCAGGTCTCCTCACACTGCTGGTGGTTTCCATTTTTGTCATAGGGTGCTGTATGGCCTCCCATTGCTGCTGCCTCCACCGCCACACTGTGGCTCCACACTCTGGTTTTGGCCCCGTGACTGCCCAAATGATTGAAGTGTGCGGTGATTCTAAGATCGACGGCACTCATCTGCATGTCATACTGACTGACAGTATTATTTCTCTTCCCCAGCAGACTCCAAGGTACAGTGTTCTGCACTAATATAAAGGCTCTCTGAAGCCTAGAAACACCCTTTTATAAGTTAAATTCGCAGCGAATATATTCGACTCGAATCAAAATTTTTCCACGAATTCGCCGAATCAGTCGAATCGAATTTTTGAATACTTCGCTCATCTCTACGTGCAATGTATGGACAGACCGCTTACACCGGCAGTCTGCAGGAGACCTGTATGGCATCAGCAGTCTGATCGCTGGTGCAATGCTTTTGCGGCTCCCAAAACAAAAATTAGTAAATGGACACTTTTTTACCTGCAAAAAATGTGCATGTATTATTTTTGTTAAAAATGTGAATGTATCCTTTAACCACCCCAATGTTAACAGGGGGGCAATGTGCACCAGTGGGAGGTAGTGAGCAGTGTGTTCAGGGGACTAGGGTGGGAAGATTTGTGCAGAGGAGAGCAGTGTGGACAGGGGACAATGTGTGCAGAGGAAAACGGGGCAGTGTGCAGGGGGTGAGCAGTGTGTGGGGGAAAGGGGGACTCTGTGTAGAGTTGGTGAATTTAATTTGGGGTAAATCTCAGGTTTCGTCATTGTTTCTAATCAGAATCTACTTGTATTAAGCCACACACCCAATATTCATTTGAATCCAACCATGCCTGAAGGACAATACAGGTGGGGGGGGGCAGCAAAATGCACATTTGCCTGTGTAGACAAAAATCCTTTCTCTAGCAACCAATCAGTGAACATTACTGATCTGCTGTAACTTCTACCAACCAATCATCGAGTGATAATGATGGGCTGTAAGCTCTAGTAACCAATCAGTGAGCAGTAAGGATATGCAGTAACCTCTAGCAACCAATCAGTGTGTATGTTGACCAGTTCTTTATGTTATGTTAAATTATGCAATTTTTTTAGATATGTCTATGTGTGTTTGTTTGTTTGTTTGTTTTTAGGGATGTTGGGGTGGAAAGTGAAATTGCATGGGGGGGGGCAAGAAATATTTTGCCCAGGGTCCAGTCAACATTAAAGACAGCCCTGGGATTGGGCCTACACTCAACAAAACTCATGGGCTCCCAACCTGTAGATGCTCAGCCTTCAGCTACGTGCATGTATTCAAGCATTGTGCTGATGGTATTCCTGTCTACATGCATGTACGTAGCATTGTGCTACTAGCATTCCTGTCTACATGCATGTACTCTAGCATTGTGCTGATGGTATCCCTGTCTACATGCATGCACTCTAATAAGAGCTGCACAGCATTTCTCAGAGCGAGTTTCCTGATAGGAACATGAGTGTATATAATATGTGTTGAAAAAGTCACTTTTAGTTCACATTGGAAGCTTGCATGAAAGTGTAAGCAATAGACAGAGGGGCAGGGAGTCTTTTGCCACCTTGAGCAATACAAATAATGTACTGTATGTTAGGCCTTTGGCTTTGAGTGGTGTTTGAGTGGAGGTTCTCTCCTCTTGAAACCCCAGTTACAGTGGAACCTGCAATCAAATATACAGTCAGGTCCATAAATATTGGGACATTGACACAATTCTAACATTTTTGGCTCTATACACCACCACAATGGATTTGAAATGAAACAAACAAGATGTGCTTTAACTGCAGACTGCCAGCTTTAATTTGAGGGTATTTACATCCAAATCAGGTGAAAGGTGTAGGAATTACAACAGTTTGCATATGTGCCTCCCACTTGTTAAGGGACCAAAAGTAATGGGACAGAATAATAATCATAAATCAAACTTTCACTTTTTAATACTTGGTTGCAAATCCTTTGCAATCAATTACAGCCTGAAGTCTGGAACGCATAGACATCACCAGACGCTGGGTTTCATCCCTGGTGATGCTCTGCCAGGCCTCTACTGCAACTGTCTTCAGTTCCTGCTTGTTCTTGAGGCATTTTCCCTTCAGTTTTGTCTTCAGCAAGTGAAATGAATGCTCAATCGGATTCAGGTCAGGTGATTGACTTGGCCATTGCATAACATTCCACTTCTTTCCATTAAAAAACTCTTTGGTTGCTTTTGCAGTATGCTTTGGGTCATTGTCCATCTGCACTGTGAAGCGGCGTCCAATGAGTTGTGGAGCAGATAATATTGCCCGAAACACTTCAGAATTCATCCTGCTGCTTTTGTCAGCAGTCACATCATCAATAAATACAAGAGAACCAGTTCCATTGGCAGCCATACATGCCCACACCATGACACTACCACCACCGTGCTTCACTGATGAGGTGGTATGCTTAGGATCATGAGCAGTTCCTTTCCTTCTCCATACTCTTCTCTTCCCATCACTCTGGTACAAGTTGATCTTGGTCTCATCTGTCCATAGGATGTTGTTCCAGAACTGTGAAGGCTTTTTTAGATTCGTTTGACAAACTCTAATCTGGCCTTCCTGTTTTTGAGGCTCACCAATGGTTTACATCTTGTGGTGAACCCTCTGTATTCACTCTGGTGAAGTCTTCTCTTGATTATTGACTTTGACACATACACCTACCTCCTGGAGAGTGTTCTTGATCTGGCCAACTGTTGTGAAGGGTGTTTTCTTCACCAGGGAAAGAATTCTTCGCTCATCCACCACAGTTGTTTTCCGTGGTCTTCCGGGTCTTTTGGTGCTGCTGAGCTCACCCGTGCGATCCTTCTTTTTAAGAATGTTACAAACAGTTGTTTTGGCCACGCCTAATGTTTTTGCTATCTCTCTGATGGGTTTGTTTTGTTTTTTCAGCCTAATGATGGCTTGCTTCACTGATAGTGACAGCTCTCTGGATCTCATCTTGCGAGTTGACAGCAACAGATTCCAAATGCAAATAGCACACTTGAAATGAACTCTGGACCTTTTATCTGCTCATTGTAATTGTGATAATGAGGGAATAACACACACCTGGCCATGGAACAGCTGAGAAGCCAATTGTCCCATTACTTTTGGTCCCTTAACAAGTGGGAGGCACATATGCAAACTGTTGTAATTCCTACACCGTTCACCTGATTTAGATGTAAATACCCTCAAATTAAAGCTGACGGTCTGCAGTTAAAGCACATCTTGTTTGTTTCATTTTAAATCCATTGTGGTGGTGTATAGAGCCAAAAATGTTAGAATTGTGTCGATGTCCCAATATTTATGGACCTAACTGTAGAGGCTGAATAGGTATGAGCAAATGTGCCTGGGTTTAATTTGCAAGTAGAATATCAATGCTCTTCCAAAGGTCCCCACCTGTTTTCCAACAGACGATCTTAGCAGACACATGCTTCTCGATGTTCTGTTAGATCACTAGCTTATTCCAGTTTGAGTTGTGGTAGATACAGGCTAGTATATGAGTAAATGAACAATCAAAGTTGTCTGGACAGTAATATCACATTTTATGGGGGATAGTGGGCTCGTTCATCCTGCATTCCTCAAGCAAATAAGGTAAAACCATACATGTCCTTATATGGCTCTTTGACCAAATCTTAGAGGAGGCTTTCCTGAGCCACAGGTATGGAAAATGAGGTATCTTCATCAGGCCTTGCTAGTTCATTTCTTTAAAAAAAAACAGTCAGGCAAACCCACATACTTATATGCAGGATGCTGGTACCCCCCCCCCCCCCCCCCCCCCCCCCCCCCCCCACACAGGTGTAGTGTAGTCCAAAGCAACAGCAAAATAAAGGAACAACTGGGTTTCTGAACTACAGATCCCTATATGCTTTGAGGCACAGGAGGAGTCGAGGGGGACTTAAGTAGAATCACCTGGGAAAAGCCGCTCTCTTGGAGCTGCAAGAGTTTTGGCAGACTTATCCATGGGACCTTGTCTCCACAGAGGCTGAGTCATTTGGGTTTAGACCTTTTCAGCAGCGGGAGCTCGAGACTTGACTGCAATGTATTGTCTTCTCTCATTGCTACAGGGAGACCCAAGTGTACCCAGGCTCATTGCTACAGACCACTGGATCTGAGGGAGTCCCTTCCACCTTGAGAGCAGACTGCTAAGCCCAGGAGTTGGTGAGAGGTCTGCAAGTTCATGTTTCTTTCCATTGTTACATACAGAGTCACTGAGAGCAGGACACTTAGACATCATAACCCTCCTACAACTAATTTAACCCAGCACTCCTGTTATCAGTACCACACCATATTCCTCCAAAGAGTCAGAGCCACAGGAATATTGAACTGCATCCATAGCTGACTGCAGCCAGTAAAAACTATAATGAAACTAGCAGGTACTTGATGCTTATTCACTGCCTGCGGGTTCTCAAAGGGGACTTTCACCAAGTGCACCAACGTTCTTAAAGGGCCCCAATGGTAGCCATCCGAGGAACCATATTAGAGGCTAACTAAAGAAAAGGGCTTCCAACTATTCTGTTTTTAGACTACTCTGACCCTTGAGTAGTGTGAAGAATTATAAAAAGGATGAAAGTGTCAAAAGTGTCATAAAAAACTGAACGTATACTGTATGTGAATATATATACAGTTGCAAGAAAAAGTATGTGAACCCCTTGGGATTACATGGAATTTTGCATGAATTGGGCATAAAATGTGCTCTGAACGTCATCTAAGTCACAACAATAGAAGAACACAGTCTGCTGAACATAATACTACACAAACATTAGATGTTGCCATGGTTTAATTGCACATAACATGTAAACATTCACAGTGCAGGGAGGAAAAAGTATGTGAGGCCCTAGGTTAATGACTTCTCCCAGAGCTAATTGGAGCCAGGAGTGAGCCAACCTTGACTCCAATCAGTGTGATGATATTGGATGTGTTGCTGACAGCTGTCCTGCCCTTAAAAAACACACACCTGTTTTGGGTTTACTGGTTTCAAGAAGCACTGTCTGATGTGAACCATGCCTCGCAGAAAAGAGCTCTCAGAAGACCTACGATCAAGAATTGTTGACTTGCATGAAGCTGGAAAGGGTTACAAAAGTATCTCCAAAAGCCTTGATGTTCATGTGTCCATGGTAAGACAGACTGTCTACAAATGGAGAAAGTTTAGCACTGTTGCTACTTTCCCTAGGCCTGGTCGTCCTGTAAAAATGACTGCAAGAGCACAG